ACTTCTAGCGAGCTCTGCTTTCATGCCCTTTCAATTTATCTTACTTAAATTTTTAAAAATAGTCTCGGACCCACTCCACTTTTCCTCAAACTGATTCAGTTACTTTCAATTACTTTGTGGTCGATGTTGCCTAGAGGTAGCTTTACTTTAAGGTTATTAATTAATTAATGCTATTTCATTGCAAACTTACAGGTCTAATGGACCCTGCTCTCTGATCGACTCCAAAATATGCTGTTCTAAGGAACCAATCCAAAACCATTTCATGAACTCCTCATCTAAGTTACTTTTCTGATGCCTTTCTAACGAGCTTTCATTATTTATTTCTTAATGCTTTATCCTCTCATGGTCAGTGTTAGACAGCTTGCATACAATGCCCACAAGTGACTTCTTGCCTTTATAATTTCTCATCTCCACCCAAACTGTTTCTATGTCTTGGTTTCCTGAGCAAAGGTTATTCCTCTCCATATACTCCCTATAATACTGCAAATACCGTCATTAATTATCAGAGACAAACCTCCACCTTTCCCTAGTTTCCTAATTTCTAAATGTCCTGTGCCCTTCAGGATTTGGGCCCCAATCCATGTCATCCTGCAGTCATATCTCTTTAATGACTACCGGACTATGCATATTAATTTATTTTGTGATCTTTGTTCATCTATTTTATTTCAAATGCTATGTGCCTTAGGTTCAGAGCCTTTAGTTTTATCTTTTTACTCTTGCTGTAAATTCAAGTCTTAAATGTTGGTTGACCTTAGATTTGTACTCCTTATCTTTTCTTGTCTTTTATCATTTCTCCCATTAATGCCTTTGTTTTTGGCTTTGACACTATAAAATAAGGAGAGTGATCACTTTGGCCACAGGGGCTGCTTTTCAGACCCAAGGTTTCTTCATTGGGCTGTGGATCCTCTGTCTCCAAAGACTGTCAGGTCTTTTGCAGAATGGCTTCCTCTGTGAAACTGGTAGCCTTCCCCTGTGTCAGCGGAGCACTCCACCATCACACAATTGTCAAATTCTCATAAAATGGCCTGCAAGTGGGCCATTAATTATGTATTCTGGTTGCCTGCCTCTGTGGCACATGCAACTGAGATGCCTCGCAACTCACCTCCCAGTGGGTACAGTATATCTTTTGTGTATTTTATTGGCCCTTCTTTTCTGTGGTCTGAGAGCTGGTAAGGTACAGCCCTTCATATTTAAATATCCTACTCATTTTTCTGGTAAAGTTTGCAAGCTGTGCAGCATCTGCGGTGAGTGAAACACAGGTAACTGAGCCCAATTTGAATTCTGCGTAAGTGGATGGGTTTTGAGTTAGCTAAATTGGAACCATTCACAATTAGGCCAGTGACTTTTGTTGGAATCCTCATGTAACCCTATCGTTTTACAAGCTTATTCATTCATTGTTTGTGTGAATAAACTGTCAACAGACCACCTGCCGTTGAACAAAAATATTAGGTAAAGGAACAGGAATTGTCCTGATTTTCCTTTCCATAGATTTTAGTGGAAATTTTTGCTTCAAAGAGTCATAGAGTCATACAGCATGGAAACAGACCCTTTGGTCCAAACAATCCATGCCGAACATAATCCCAAACTAAACTAGTCCCACCTGCCTGCTCCTGGCCCGTACCCCTCCAAACCTTTCCTATTCGTATATCCTTCCAAATGTCTTTTAAACATTGTAATTGTACCGCATCCACCACTTCATCAGGAAGTTCATTCCACACACTAACCATCTCTCCTCTCACCTTAAAAATATGCCCCCTCATTCTTGAAATTCCCCATGTTAGAGAAAAGACAACTACCAGCAACTCTATCTATATCTCTCATTATTTTATAATCTTCTATCAGGTCACCTCTCAACCTCCAATGCTCCAGCGAAAAGTCCCAGCCTATCCAGGCTTTCTTTATAACTCAAACCTTTCATACCCGGCAACACCCTGGTAAATCTCTTCTGAACACTCTACAATTTCACATTACCCTTCCACTGAGCATAAAATTCACAGTGACCTGGTAAAGAATCAAACAGGTGACACAGCTCAGCTTAGCTTTGCTCATGAAATAACCAATGAAGAAAGCCTGTTTGGTTCTTGATTCCTATCACATCTTTACCACTGACCCCTCTCAAATTGCAAACCCATCCACCATTGCAGATTCCAAGATACCAACTTTGGTTATTGTCTGAGGCTGAACGAGAACTTAGCTGAGAGATGGACAAGACTGGCAGCTCAATGTTCTGGGTTTTAGATACTATAGGAAGGATAGAAAAGGAGGGAAGAAAGGAGGGGAGTGGCACTTTTGATTAAGGAATAAATTACTGCTGTAACTAGGAAAGATATTTCTGAAAAATTGTCAGTGAAAATATAAGGGTAGAAATTACAAATAAGAAAGGAAAGATCACCTTGATGGGATTGTACTGTAGGGCCCCCAATAGTAAAAGAGAAATTGAGAAACAAATATGTAGGGAGATCTCAAATATATGTGAGCATAATAAGATTGTAATAATGGGGAATTTTCATTTTCCAAACATTGACTGGGACTACCATGGTGTTAAAGGTTTGGATGGTGAAGAAGTTGTCATATATGCTCAAAAAATTTTCTTTATCAATATATGGATGCTCCTACTAGAAAAAGAGCAAAACTAGACATTCTCTTGGGCAATAAGGCAGAGCAGGTGACTGAAGTTAAAGTAGGGGAACACTTTGGGTCTAGCGATCATAATTTTATTAGTTTCAAAATGGTTATGGGAAAGGATAAGCCTTCCATTAAAGTTCAGGCTTTTAATTGGAGTAAGGCAAATTTTAATGGTATGAGACAAGAACTTTCAAAATTGATTGGAGTAGACTGCTTGCAGAAAAAGGATGTCTGACAAGCGGGAGGGGTTCAAGAGTGTGATGACGAAAGTTCAGAGGCATTTTGTTCCTATTAGAGTGAAGGTTTATGCTGGTACAGTTCAGGAACAATGGATGGATAAAGATATTGAGGTTCTAGTCAAGAATAAAAAAGAAATTAGATGTAGACAACTTGGTTCAATTGAATCTCTTAATCAATATAAAGAGTGTAGGGGCATTCTTAAGAGAGAAATCAGGAAGGCAAAGAGGGGATATGAGATAGCATTGGAGGATAAGGTTAAGGATAATCCAAGGAAATTCTACAAATACATTAAGAGTAAGAGGGGATCCAGAGAGAGGATAGGTCCTCTTAAAGATCAAGCAGATCGTCTTTGTGTTGAACCCCAGGAGACGGGAGAGATACTAAATGAATATTTTGCGTCAGTTTTCACTGTGGAGAAAGAAATGGAGAATGCAGAGAAATAAACTCTGTTTTAAAAACAGTTTACATTATAGAAGAGGATGTTCCAGAAGTTGGAGAGTATAAAATTGGATAAATCTCCAGGATCTGATCTAATGTATCCCACAATGATGTAGGAAGTAAGGGAGGAAATTATGAGACCCCTTACAGAAACATTTGCATCACCTATAACTACAGGTGAGGTGCCTGATGACCGGAGGGTGGCTAACGTTGTACCTTTGTTTAAGAAAGGTTGTAAGGAGAAGCTGGGGAACAATAGACCTGTGAGCCTGACTTCGGTTGTGGGTAATTTGTTGGAGGTGATTAAAAAAGATAGGATTTATGGGCATTTAGAGAGGCAAAAATTGATTAGTGATAGTCAGCATGGTTTTGTTCGAGGAAAATCATGTCTCACAAACTTGATTGAGTTTTTTGAGGAGGTTACCAAAAAGGTTGATGATGGCAGTGCAGTAGACGTTGTTTATTTGGATTTTAGTAAAGCCTTTGACAAAGTTCCACATGGTAAACCAATTAATAAAGGTAGATCACATGGGATTCAGAGTGAGCTTATGATACATAAATGGTTTAACAGCAGGAGACAGAGTAATAGTGGAGGGTTGCTTTTTGGACTGGAGGCCTGTGACCAGTGGTATTCCACAGGGTTCGGTTCTGGGTCCTCTTTTGTTTGTCATTTATATAAATGATTTGGATGAGAAGATAGAAAGCATGGTTAGTAAGTTTGCGGATAACACGAAAATTGTTGGCATAGTAGACAAGGAAGAAGGTTTTCTAAGATTACAAAGAGATCTTGATCAAATGGATCAATGGGCTGAAAAATGGCAGATAGAGTCCAATCTGGATAAATGCAAGGTATTGCATTTTGGTATAACAAACAAGGATAGGGCTTACACAATTAGTGATCGAGCCTTGGGTAGTGTTGTCAAACAAGAGGGACCTAGGGTCTAGGTACACAATTCTTTGAAGTTTGTGTCACACATGGACAGGGTTGTTAAAAAGGCATTTGGCACACTTGCCTTCATTGCTCTGTCCTTTCAGTTTAGGAATTGGGACATTATGTTGAGGTTGTACAGGACATTGGTGAGGCTTCTTCTGGAATATTGTGTCCAGTTCTGGTCGCCCAGTTATAGGAAGGACATTATCAAGCTGGAGAGGATTCTAAAGAGATTTACCAGGATATTGCCGGGTATGGAAGGTTTGAGTTAAAAAGAAAGGCTGGATAGGCTGGGACTTTTTTCACTAGAGCATAGGAGGTTGAGAGGTGACCTGATAAAAGTTTATAAAATAATAAGAGATGTAGATAGAGTTGATGGTAGTTGTCTTTTCCTTAGGATGAGGAATTTCAAGACTAGGGGTCACATTTTTAAGGTGAGAGGAGAGAGATTTTAAAAAAGACATAACAGTCAATTTTTTTTACACAGAGGGTGGTTTGGATGTGGAATGAACTTCTGATGAAGTGGCAGATGCTGGTACAATTTGGATGGATACATGAAAAGGAAAGGTCTGGAGGGATATGGGCCAGGAGCAAACAGGTGGGACTAATTTAATTTGGGATTGTGTTAGGCATGGACTGGTTGGACCAAACGATCTGTTTCGTGCTGTATGACTCTCTGACTCTAGACAAACCTTTTCTGTACTGAATGTGAAGTATAAGCAACAATGGATGTGGAAGTAAAGTATGGGAATTTCCTCTTGTGCAGCTTGCAGCTCTAACAAATGTGATCCGAAGCAGAGGTCAACTGTCCTTATCGCTGAAATTCCTTCCAGCAGGTGCACATGGTACGTTCAGTCACGATGTCAGTAACAGTTACCGTTACAAGTTGCAGTTAAAATTATAACAAAAGAAATATAATCAGAAATAGGCCAAAATACCAAATGGACATTCTCTTCCATTAAATAAAATCATGGTTAATCGTTTACCTCAACTTCATTACTTATCTGCAGCTCCAGATCCCAGATTTCCTCAGTATCCAAAAATACGTCAATCTAAATCTTGACCATGTTCAATGACAACCACAAACCTTTGGGAGAATTCCAAAGAATCAGAATTGACAAAGTGAAAATATTTTTCCTCACCTAGGACCTAAATGGCCATTTCATGTCTTGAATCCTTGTCAACCCATTCCTCTTACCCCAGTTCTTGACTCTCCAGTAAGGAGAAACAGCTTTTTAACATCTAGCTTGTCAAACCCTCAAGAATTTTATACACTTCAATGAGAGCACTTCTCATTCTTCTTAACTTGAGAAAATATAGATATATTCTACTCAACTTATTCTTTTAAGGATTACCCACTTGTTTTGTTCTCATCAAACCCTTACACAAACACAACAAGGCTTTCTTACTCTTCTGCTCCAAAAATCTTTGCAATAGATCATAGAACTTGTGTTCTTAGACTGTGACCCCTTGTCCTAGATTCAGTGGTCATTGAGAAAATCCTACTGTATTTACCCTGTCTAATCCTGTCAAAATTTTATTGGTTTCTAAGATCCACCCCCACCATCCCCATTTCATTCTTCTAAACTTCAGTGAATGTAGACTTAACTAATCAAGTCTGTCTTCACCTGTCAGGCCTGCCATCCCTGGAATCAGTCTGGTAAACCTTCTGTCACATTCCCTCCATAGCCAGAATGTCCTTCCTCAGTAAGGAGACCAAAAGTGCGCACAATACTCCAGGTGTGGTCTCATCAATTCCCTGTTCATTCCATCATAAAGCCATCTATTTCCTGCTTCAGCTCTTCAGTTTTATGTCCTCTAGATTTGAATATTCCAATGCCTCATTCTATCCTCCATAAACATGAGCTCGTCTAAAACCATTGCCAGTGCCATCAGCCATGATCATAAAGAATGGCAGAGGTGGCTCGATGGGGCGAATGGCTCCTCCTGTTCCTGTCTCCTATGTTTCCATGTAATTCACCCAACATTTATTCATCCATCACTTCTGATGCATGTTGACTTCTGTGTTAATTTTAAAACTCATCCATTCTTTCAAATTCCTCTATCTCCCCTCTCCACCTTTTCCCTGAAATTTTCTCTAGCCCTACAACGCTATGCAACATTTGTCCTAATTTTTAATCACACCATCATTGTCAGTTATATCTTCAACTACCAAGATCTTAAACTCTTGAATTTCCTCCCTAAATCTCTCCGCATCTCACCTTCTTTAAGTTCCTCCTTGGATGCTTTACTATGTCAAAGTCATTGTATAAACATGAGTGGGTCTTGATTGTTCTTGTAATTTGTGTTGTGCTACTATTCTTTGCATGAATTGGGGACCGGAAGAATTGATATTATCACTCAACATGTGAAGAGAGGGGAGTTGTCTGGGATGAGTTAGGAGGAAAATTTTATCTAATGCTGTTATATCCTGCTTTAGATCAGGGAATGCCTCCCACCGCAGAGTTGCACATCTGGCTCAAGGAAGCTCGGAATCTCCTCCCAATCCGATCGAAGGGCATCAACTCTTTTGTCAAATGGTAAGGTAGTCTTTCATTTCATGGAGTTTATTCTTCTTTTGTGTTGCTGGAAAAGCTGGAATTTATTGTCCAATCATAATTCCTCTCTTGAACTATTGCAGTCCATGTAGTGTAGGTCAATCCATACTGGTGTTAGAAAGGAATTCTAAGATTTTGACTCGGCAACAGTGAAGGAATAACCACATAGTTCCAAGTCAGGATGGTGTGAGGCTTGGAGGGAACTTACAGATGGTGGTTTTCCCATGTACGTGCTATCCTTCTCCATCTAGTTGGTAAAGATTGTGGGTTTAGCTTTTGTAGAATCATTGGTGAGTAGCTGGGGTGCATCATAAGATGATATGCACTGCACCCACTGTGCATCAGTGGTGATGGGACCCATGGAAGTGAATGTTTAGGTTGATGGATATGGTATTGATCTAGTGAGCTGCTTTGTCCTGGATAATATTGAGCTTCTTGGGTGTTTTCCCACATGCGGTTAAGTGGAAAACATTCCATCGCACTCCTGACTTGTGCCTTGAGGATGGTGCACTGGCTTTGGGGAGTCAGAAGGTGAACTACTCACCTCAGAATTACAAGCCTCTGGCCTGTTCCCATTGCCAAGCATGGTCAATGGTACCCCAAGGATGTTGATACTAGGGGATTCAATAGGTTGGTCATAAATCATTGGTAATGCCAAGCTGAAATTATGGAATTGATAAAGCAGCAGAGAAAATCAAGGAAAGGACTTAACTTCTGGTGCACCTGTTCTCAACTGAGCTTAATTCAAACATTAATTCAACCCTTTGAGTGCCATTTGAATTAGGCTTTTATTGGTATCCCAGTCTGATTAATTAACAGGCTGTGGGAATCTGTTCCCTGAGATTACAACTCACCCACTGTCCCATGGCCTTGGCCTTCCTCTGAATCTTGACAAATATTCTGCTGCAGGTCCCAGAAGTACAGGTACATGCATGAATCAGATTTTGATACTGTACCAACACACAGCACTCCAACGTCTATTACTTCTGAGCTGGAACCCTGAATTCAGTGTGGTTGGGCTGTTGTGGCAACATGCATTGTGATTGAATTAATGTGCAATATGCAGTGTGCCAGAATACACTGTAACTGAGTGCTACCAATAATTTTTTTTGAATGTTGTGTGACTGACTCCTGTACCATTGCTTTGTTATCAGTTATATTCTCCCAGATGTCAACAAGTCCAGCCGACAAAAGACCAGAGTGATAAAGAACAATTTGAATCCTGTGTATAACCACACAATGGTATATGATGGCTTTCAAACAGAAGACATGAGTGAGACCTGTGCTGAGATCACTGTCTGGGACCATGACACATTTTCCAACCAGCTTCTTGGAGGATTGAGGCTAAGTCTAGGAACAGGTAACAGAGACAGTTTTCTTCTGTTTGTCAAGCATATGAAAATTAAAATTATCTTTGGTATGTTTGGGAAGAATCTCTGACCATGTCTTACAGGCTGAATTAATAATGTGCAATGTTGTTTCTTCGGTCTCTATCCATTTGTACTTAATATTGTAGTTGGATTTCCACATAGGTTGCAAGACTGTAACTTTCATGTTAAGAGTGGCCTTACCTTTGAAATAGGCAAATGTTCTATTTAAGGTGGTGGCAATCAGAGTGTTAGATAAGCAGGACAGGAAGGAACATGACAACCACATAACCTAATATTTTCATTGAGGCAGGGTTTATGGGCTGCTTCAAAAAAGAGAAGAGAGCAAGATGCAAGGAATGTTAGGTACGAATTTCCAGAGCACTTTTAAAATTGAGGTGTTTAAAGTGGTGGATGAGCTGTTGATTTTTCCATGTGTTGTCAAGCTTCTTGAAGTTACACCAGTCCATATATGGGGAGAGTATTGCATTACATTCTTGATTTGAGCCTTGCAGATGGTGGAGAGGATTCAGAGAGGCAGGAAAAGAGTCATTTACCTCAGGATATGCTCCCTCTGGACTGCAGTAGCAACCACGACAAGTAGAAATTATTTTTAGATAATCTGTTTGGACATGTTATGACGTACCTTCTGGGGTTGGTAGGAAATGAACTCGAGCTTCTGATCCAGAGGCAGGCAAACTACCACAGCGCCACAAGACTCCTAGTTGTCCCACCCCACAACCCTCAGGATTCTAGTGATTATGCAAGGAACAGTTGTAATCCAAAACAATGACAGAAGGTGCTGGTGAACCTCAGCAAGTCTGGCAGTAGCTAGAGAAACAGAGTTAATGCTTTGAGTCCAGCTGGACAAGGGTGGCAGTTATACTGATGATAGGGTTGGGGTAGAATAGGGGAAGGAGTGAATAGAATGCATGGTGATGGTGCCAAGAGGAGAGGGTGAGGGGGTAAAAAAGCAGAAGCAAGCCAAAGTATTGTTGATACTAAACTGATGAGATTGAGATAAATGCTGGTTGGGGTGCTAACAAGAAGTGTGAATGGTTAACAATGTGCTGTGCTGTGTGCAACACATTCAAAACAGGATGTAGGGATGTGAAAGTAGGTAATGATATGGAGGAGGGTGTTCACATTCTGAAATTGTGAAATTCAATGTTAAATCTTGAAAGCTGTAAGGTACCTAGGCAGCCACCCGAAGGTTGCAGGAACAGCAATTCATATTCCGCTTGGGAACCCTGCAGCCCAATGGTATCAATGTGGATTTCACAAGCTTCAAAATCTCCCCTCCCCCTACCGCATCCCAAAACCAGTCCAGCTCGTCCCCGCCTCCCTAACCTGTTCTTCCTCCCACCTAGCCCCTCCTCCCACCTCAAGCCGCATCCCCATCTCCTACCGACTAACCTCATCCCGCCCCCTTGACCTGTCCGTCCTCCCTGGACTGACCTATCCCCTCCCTAACTCCCCACCTACACTCACCTTTACTGGCCCCATCCCCGCCTCTTCAACCTGTTTGTTTCCTCTCCACCTATCCTCTCCTCTATCCATCTTCTATCCGCCTCCCACTCTCTCCCTATTTATTTCAGAACCCCCTTCCCCTCCCCCTTTTCTGATGAAGGGTCTAGGCCCGAAACGTCAGCCTTTCTGCTCCTATGATGCTGCTTGGCCTGCTGTGTTCATCCAGCCCTGCACCTTGTTGCCTCAGAAGATGAGGTGTTGTTCCTTTCAGCTTGCATTTAGCTTTGCTGCACTGCAGCAGGCCCGAGTCTGAAATGTGGCATGGGAACACTGTGATATTTTGAAGTTGCACACAACCTGAAGCTCAGGGTCATTTCTACAGACAGAGTTTAGGTGTTTGGCAAAGAAGTCACCTGGTCTGTGTTTTGTGTCCCCAATGTAGAGGAGACTATATCGAGCAGCAGAACAGTAGACTAGATTGAATGAATAAAGTGCAGGTAAATCGCTGCTTCATCTGGAAGGTGGGTCTGAGACCTTGGACAGTGAGGAGGGAGAAGGTAACCAGGCAAGTGTTACACCTGTGATTGTATGGTAAGTTGCCATGAAGGTATGAGGAGGTGATGAAAGTGGAGGAGTGGACCAGGGTTTCCATAGGGAATGGTCCCTGTGGAATGTTGACATGGGAGGGAAGGCTAAATACATGTCTGGTGGTAGCATCCAACTGGAGGTGACAGTATCATCCTTTAGATGCAAAGCCTGGGCTGGAAAGTGAGGACCTTATCATTGTTGTGGGAAGGAAGGGAAGGGGTGATGGCAAAAGTACAAGAAGTATGTGGGACACGGCTGAGGCCTTTGACAATCACAATGTGGGAAATCCTCAGTTGAGGAAGAAGTGGACATTTGAGGACCCCTGCAGAAGATGGCATCATCAGATGTGACAGAGACAGAGAACTGGGAGAATGGAATGGAGTCTTGCAGGAAGCAGGATGTGAGAATGTATAGACAAGATAACTGTGGGAGTCGCTGGGTTTGTGACACCTATCAATGGCCATACCATCCATGGAAATGGGAATAATCCATTTGAGTTTCTGTGCCACAAACTCATGTGCTTGATGAAAAGCAGTTTAGCACTGTGTGGAGAGGGTGAATGTTGTATACGTACTTGACTCTCCTCACCCTGTATGACTGCCAGTCATTTTCTGCCACTGAGTGATCTTGTGGGAAGGGGTTATGTTTGTGGTGATTATAACAAGGTCAGCCAGATGGACATCATAGAATATAGAGTTCACTGATTTGGGCTGATATTCTGGTCCAATTAGGGAGCCCTGGCTGACAGATAAGAACAGGACTGTCAGACATCCTGACACTCTAACAGCTGGCTCTTAGGGAGCTGGATCAGCGTCAAGGACTCTCCACGTGTACATAAAGGGTGACTTGATGACAGGATACCAGACTCTCTGGAGTTATTTCTATGTTCACACCCGCTGCCCTGACCACCACCTTCCACTCGTGCTGATTTGGTTCTGCTCAGAACCCACTGCTTTTCCACATAGAGGTGGTCTTCCTCCTGTGGCAACGCTAGAATGCTGAAAATCTTAAAATGGGGCAGCAAGAGCTATATGTCAAACAATAGATTTCACCAACCTTTCAACAACAATAAATCCATCAATGCACTGGTGATAACTGCCTGTTTAAATGCTGCAGCAGGGACCAATCACTACCAACAAGAACTGCAGTTCCAATGCCAAAGATTATAAATGAATTTAACTCCAAATATGTTGCTGAAGTCAGGGCGTTTATGACTGGACGAGACGTTTTCCTGCTCTTAACACCAGCACTGTCTGTTTCCTCTGTGGGTTCTGAGGCACATAACAGATCTTTACATATAGGTCCTGACATATGAATATCTACACATGTCAAAGCCATTCATTGTATGTAAGATGTTTGACACAATTCTCAAATATGTCATTAAAATAACAATGTACCTCTCCACTTTCCACATTAAAGGTACCTCCAAATTATTTGTTTTTCAAATGCTGTCGAGGAGCGGACATTTAATGATTTTGTGTAATGTTTTTCATAACTGTTTCCACTCAACATTTGTCTGTGTAATTAATGTAGAGTCCTGCTGCTCACAGATAATCTCTGCCCTATTATAGGTCTCAGCTATGGGCAATCTGTCGACTGGATGGATTCAAACGAGGAAGAGATTTCTGCATGGCAAAAAATGCTTTCTGCACCTGGGCAGTGGACGGAGTCCATGTTACCACTCAGACCCAACATGAATTCTATGGAATTGTCACAGTCTGCAAAATAATTTACGTCTCTGTGAACTAACCTGTCCTTTGGTAATATTCTGCGTAGGTCACAGGGTCTAAGATGCAGAACTAACTTTATTCAGACAAATTTAGGAGCTGGATTGAGGAGATAAATTTCTGAGCATTAGAATTTTGAGGTTAAGAGCTTGACCCTGACTATTGGGTCTGTGAAGAACACAAGAGTTTCAGGATTAAATTTGAAAAGATAGCAATGTGAACTGTATCCATCTGGTAACATGTTGGTACCTCTATATTATTGGGTTTTTGTGAAGGGTCTTGGACTTTTCAGAGCACTACAGTAGAGCCTAGATTAGAGAATAAGGCCTTGTAGGCTTTGCCAATCTTGCTTCCACCAAACATGCAACAAACATATTCTCATCAGCCATTACTATGTAACATAGAAAATAGGTGTTGAAGTATGCCTTCATCCCATCAAGCTTGCTCTGCTATTCAACATGATTGTGTTTGATCCTCTACCTCCCCAAATGACTGTGCCTTTAGTGTCTAGAAATCTCTCTTTCTTCAATATATTCAATGACTTGGCCTCAACAGCCTTATGTAATAGAGAATTCCAAAGGTTCACACCACCTGAGTGGTGCAATTTCTCTTCATGTCAGTCCTAACTGGCCTACCCAGTATCCTGATACAGGGGAAACATCATCTCTGCATCATCTGTATTGGACCTGTCAGAATTTTTACATTTCAATGAAATCCCTCTTGTTCTTCTAAGCTCCAGTGAATAGAACAGAGAACAGTACAGCACAGGAATCGGCCCTTTGGCCCACGAAGGCTGCACCGACACAATGCTTTTCCAAATTAAAACTCTATTGCCTCTATGATCTCTGTATCCCTCTATTCCCTGCTATTCATAAATCTGTTAAGATGCCTCTTAAATGTTGCTAGTCTGTGACCTCCATTACCTCCTCTGGCACTGCTTTTCAGGTACTACCACCCGCTGTGTAAAGAAAAAACTCACATCTCCTTTAAACTTGCCTCCTCTTACTTTAACCTTATCACAGTATCATAAAATGCCTAAAGGCCTGGCTTTCAACCTGTAATGCAATTAACAAAATGTGGTATTAGACCCCATTTACAAACCCATGCAGAACAGAACTGGAAATGACAACTTAACAGACCGGATCATGTAAATACCAAGCAGAGTAGAACAACATCACTTCATCGGAGGCCCACTGATCATGTTACCTAGTATGGTGATGAAGTGTCTGTACAATAACCAGCCAGCTCAGCAAGCAAGCCAACAACCTAATGCCTACAGTGTGGAAGCAGGCCATTTTGCCCATACAGTCCACAACAATCCTCCAAAGAGACCTACTGCCTCCTACCCTATCCCTGTAACCTTGCATTTCCCATAGCTAATCCACCTAGCTTGCACATCTCAGGACACTGTGAGCATAGTCAATCCACCTATGTCCCCTAATAATTGACATTTGTACGCTGGGAAAAAGACTCTGACTATTCATTCATTCATGCCTCTCACAATTTTGTAAACTTCTATCAGGTTGCCCCTTATCTATCAACATTCAAGTGAAAACAAATCAAGTTTGTCCAGTCTCTCCTCATAGGTAATACATTCTAAATCATGCAACATCCTGGTAAACTGTTTCTGTAACCTCTCCGGATCCTCCTATCTGTCAATTCTCCGCCCAAGTCTTCAACCTATCTATCTGCTGTTGTATCCTCTGGCAATCCTTCTTGCCGTCTCCCCAATCTTTGTGTCATCCTTAAACTTACAAGTTTAATCAGGCCACCTACATTGTCCTCCAAATCATTTATGTATGTTACAAACAACAGAGGTCCCGGCAGAAATCCTTGCAGAACACCACTGGTCACAGATCTCCAGTCTGAAAAACACACTTCCACCACTACTCTATATGTTCTAAGACTAAGCCAGTTCTTTGTCCATCTAATCAGCTCATTAGGGATCCCATGTGACTTCACCTTCTATATCAGCTTGTCATGAGGGACCTTGTCAAAGGCCTTACTAAAGTCCATACAGACCACATCTACTGGCTTGCCCTCAATCATCTTTGTCACTTCCTCAAAAAAGTTGTTTGTGAGAAATGACCTTCCCCTCACAAAGCCATGCTGCCTACCACTAATAAGTCCATGATAACACAGTGTGGAGCTGGAGGAACACAGCAGGCCAGGCAGCATCAGAGGAGGAGGAAAGCTAACGTTTCGGGTCGGGACCCTTCTTCTGAAGAAGCGTCCCGACCTGAAACGTCAGCTTTCCTGCTCCTCTGATGCTGCCTGGCCTGCTGTGTTCCTCCAACTAAGGGTCCCGACCTGAAACATTAGCTTTCCTGCTCCTCTGATGCTGCCTGGCCTGCTGTGTTCCTCCAGCTCCATACTGTGTTATCTCAGACTCCAGCATCGGCAGTTCTTACTATCACTAATAAGTCCATATTTTTCCAAATGTGAATAAAACCTATCCCTAAGATTTTTCTCCAATAATTTCCCAACAAGTAAGGAGAATATTCAACCCAATCTCTTTTCAAAAACAATCCTGCCATGGTTAATACTGCTGCCTTACAGCGCAAAGGACCCAGGTTCAATTCCACCCTCAGAGGACTGTCTGTGTGGAGTTGGCACATTCTTCCTGTGTCTGTGTGGATTTCCTCAGGGTGCTCCAGTTTCGTCCCACAGTCCAAAGATGTGCAGGTTAGTTGGATTGACCTGCTAAATTGCCCATAATGTCCAGGGATGTACAGGCTAGGTGGATTAGCCGTAGGAAATGCAGGGTTACAGGGATAGGTTAGGGGGGTGGGTCTGGGTGGGATCCTCTTCAGAGGGTCGGTGTGGATCCATTGAGCTGAGTGGCCTGCTTCGTCACTGTAGGAATTCTGCCATTCCATGAAAACTAAATACAATACTCCAGGTGTGATCTGGCCAAGGCCCTGTATAGCTACAGCAAGACATTGTTGCTCTTGTATGCAAAAACTCTTACAATGAAGGTCAACATACCTTCCTAACTGCCTGTTGAACTTGTATGTTTGCTTTAATTGACTGGTGTACGAGGACATCCAGGTCCCCCTGTTAAACAGCATTTTTCCAAATTATCACTATTTCAATAATTCACAACCAACAATTATTATCACTATGATTGTAATAGTGACAATAATGCCATTCTGCTCCTTACCAAAAGGGATAAATTCATATTTATCCATGTTATATTGCAACCACCATGTATTTGCCCATTCGTTTGTCTAAATTATCCTGCAGCCTCTTTACCACCTCCTCATTACTCACAATGCCATCTAGTTTTGTCATCAGCAAACCTGGAGATATTATATTTGATTCCCTCATCCAAGTTGCTCATACATATCATGAATAGCAAGGGCCCAAGCACTAATGCCTGCAGTACCCTGTTAGTCAGCTCCTTCCACTTTGAAAAAGACCATTTATTCCTGCTCCCTTTTTTATCTTTTTGCAAACCAGCTTTTAATCCATGCCGGTATAATACTCCCAATCCTATATGTTATAGTTTTACACATTAACCTCTCGTGTGAGACTTTGGTCAAGCTTTCATATTTTAAGCTTTTGATAACAAGGCAGAAACATTCTCTTTCTGACTATTTCCTCCTCAGCTCTCCCCAGAGGAAGCATACTGGTAATAATTCCTTAAGTTTTCACCAGCGATCTGTCCTTCATTTATTAATCAAACAGCTTCACATTGAAAGTTTTAAAAAAAGATCTTTTTTACCAGAGAACATAATAATTTCTATAAAGCCCTTTTGTTTCCTGAACCCATTCAATTAAGATAGGGAAGCCCACAGTTTCAAACGAGTTCAATGTGTGAAGTTGGTTGATTTTAAGTAGATCTTGGAAATGATTTAATTAAAATTGGTGTCCATTGGACAAACACAACCTCAGAGCTTCTCCTGGGTTAAGGTCACTTCTAGCCATCCAAGAAATCTGCAAACCTCCAATTCTGTCATTTAAGTATACCTGAATTTTCTCACCTCACCAAAGGCAGCCCTGTCTTCAATTATCCAGGTCCTAAGCTCTAAAATTCCAGCACTAAACCTTTTCTTCCTTTCCAGCTGCAACTTATTAGCTGTTTGACCAAGTTTTTATCTTAAATATCTCTTCCTTTGGCTCAGTGTTAATTTATGTCTGTTTGAACCTACTGTGAAGCACCTTGAGACATTTCACTACGTTAACAGCTGAATACAAATGGAAGTTGTTGTATTGTACATCCTCCTGTCACACAACTGCAGAACACATTTCTGCACCTGTTGTTTTTGTTTGAGATGTTCATTGATTTTTTTTTGAACCACAGACCTTCTCCAAATGGCTTAATCGTATTTTTATGGCATTTTATAAGATAGAATGAACTTCATTTCAGTTATTTCTCTGAGGACGATATGGAGCTTTCAACCTCTCAGTTCAACACCTGTGTCCCAACCCGATGGCCAGTGACCCCAGTGGGGACCCCATTTTCAGACTACAGAGACTTGGACACCTACTCACCTCCCAATTTTTTTTTATCTCTAGCATATTTATCTCTGAACTTAATAACTTAGTGTTTGTTAAACCACCTTAGCTTCCTGATTTGGTATTTTATACAAGTATTTGTGAGTGAAATAAATTAAATACCTGGGTGAAGTTACTTGTGTAAAAATTATTTCTTATATTCATCATCAGTTTTCTGGTAAGTCCAACTATCATGTGGACTTTGGCTCAAGGCCAATTCAGTCTAAACATTTAATTAGTCATCTTTACTGTCAGTTATCATAATCTATCAGCAAAGCTGTAGATACCATGTACAGTTAATAGTTGCACAATGGTTTTAATTCATTCTTGCTTATATTGAACCTTATGCATATTTCATTTGTTGAAAGGATCACAACTAAAGGTTTATTAACTGAAATGCTGAATTAGACAAATATGCTGCTCCCCATTGACACCAGACTTTTTCCAGGGTAAGTAATCCACCTTCCTCAGGGAGTGCATTGGAATCATGCTACCAGCTTTCTGATCTTGTCACCTTGCATCAAAGGAGTCATGATCAAGTTTAGTCCTCATGTGGCATTAGGTAGCATCTCTTGGGTGTGTTGTTTCATTGTTTACATATGCAGTTGCTATTATAAATGGGAACATATGAATTTATACAGAATTTCAAGCATAGATCATTCACTCAACAAATCTACGTTGTTATTTATGCTCCACGCAAAACTCATCGTACCCCACGTCATATATCCTTATCAGCATATCACTGACAAAAGCAAGTACTCATAATCACCCTGAATCTGCCCCCTCCAGCACAATTCACAGAAGGCCTGTGTCTTCACCAATCTCGGTGTATCACCATTCCATCTGAGCAGTAAAGCTATCAGGGAAGAATTGACTTCTTTCTGCGGAAAATGACATGTTCATTCCTTCCACTCATAATGCCTGGATATGTCTATGCACTGGAGTCTCAGCTATCAGCCTCAACTCATTTCCTTACGAAGAAAGATTCAGGAATTTGCATCTATACTTCATATTTTTAGAGAATGAAATGAAATCTCATTGAAACTTACAAAATTCTTACAGGGCACAATATGGACATAGATAGGCTGATCCCCTGGTTAGCGACTCTGGAGCCAGGGTACATAATCTCAGGACCAGGGTCAGGCACTTTAAGACTGAGATGACAAAGAATTTCTTCACTCAGAGGATGGTGAATTCTCTACTGTATAAGGATCCGGGAGGTCAATCATTGGGCAGGTTCAAGACAGAAATCAATAGGCTTCTGGAGACTAATGACACCAAGAAATTTGGAGATAGTGCAGGAAACTGTCCCTTTGTAATATTGAGCAAAACTTAAAACCAGGATGAGCTTGGTCAGGAATTCCACTGGAATATAATGGGAGAACACAGCCAGACACTTTTCATCGCAACAGTAGCCCCAATCTACCCTGTTGCAGAACAGATTTCTACCTTATAATCCTCCAGCTGCTATCCAAAGATCATAGAGATAGCAAGAACTGCAAATGCTGGAATCAGAGTCAATACAGTGTGGAGTTGGAGGAACACAGCAGGTCAGGCAGCATCAGACGAGCAAGAAAGTTGAAGGACTGGGTAGGGGGCAGGGAGCTGAGAAATAAATAGAGGGAGGTGGATTGGGACTT